TAATACGTAAAGTAGCCTTTATGCCATGAGTCAAAGCGCGCTCTGATCATGTAATACATGACATATGCAATTTGACAAGCAATTGTGTATGTATGTGCTTAAGAAAACATCATTATATCATACATTTAAAATTAATATATTTTTTTAAAAACTTATTAATAATTTGCAAAATGAAATATTTTCGAATATAGACTGTATTAGCTTAGGCATGTACGTGATTTTAAGTTTTTAAAAATTTAATTTTTCTATTTGACATAAGGTACTCTGTGAACGAACATGAATACATAACGAGCTGGACGTCAAATTCTAAAAAAAATTAAACGTCAAATTCTAAAAAGCAATTACAAATATATGTACATTTTTTAATCATACACGATTAATTTGAAAACAGAGCTAGTGCGATTTTCCGCGGCGACATATCGCAGTTTATATACATAGAAAGTACAAGATAATTAAATGCGACTGTACAGAATCTAGAGAAGTTACCGCCGCGAATTTCATCGCCGACGGTGAAATAACCTAAATTCTGATTTTACCCCTGGCGGTTTTTTTGACATTATCTGTTTCCATATGTGTGTAACATTATATGCAAAATATTGTGCAGGTGGCTATGCTATTCCTTTGTTGTTCTGAGGTTACGACGTTTATAAATCGCAAACCGTTGCCGTTCACCGCTGTGGTTATGTTTTACACCTCCGGTCGGTAAAACATAGCTTGATTTTAAGCACTCCCATTTAAATGTATGTATTCTATAACTTTACGTTCTATACTTTCAGTGTTAAAATTACATTATATACTTTTAAGCGGAACGCAAAAAAATAGTAACAAAATATTTTAAACGAAATATAATATTTTTAATTACATTTATAAATATTTTAATTTATAAAATTAAATATATAAACGTAATCACTTATTCCATGTACCCAAAAAAGACAAAAAAAAAAAATCGAACAATAATCAAAAAAGCTGATAAGATATCATTTATATCTTATAGTTGACAAAATATTTTGAAATTTTCATCTTTATATTTGAATTTTCCTTTACTATTAAAATTAGTTGATCGCTTAACTTTGAATAATCTAGTATATCAATATTAGATTAAAATATCCGAAAAGAAAAGTTTCAATAAATTGTTATAAGCTATAAACTATATTATAAAAAAATTTAATATAAAAATTGTATACTTTTCTATAAAATAACATAAAAAAAAATGGCACAAGTTGTAAGTGGAGTTGTAATAATACAAGAAAATACAAATTCTTTTCGATATCGAAGGAAACATGAAAGACAATCTAGATCTTTGTCGTCAGGTAAATAAATATACATGTATGTATGTATATTATTACTAAAATAAGTATAAAAATATATATAAAAAATTTGTGTAAGAAAGTAAAGTGAACATTTAATTCATTAAACCTATACAATCTATTATAATGCTTTCAGTAATTTTGCAAATTAATATTAATTTTGAATAATTAAAATATAATATTTTTTGTGATAATACTTAAAATAATTAATTCAAAAATATGATTTTTGAAGTTACAACCCATATATATATACATATGTATCAAAGGCAATTTATCTATTACAAAATTTATATGGTGTTTAATTTTAATTACAAAAACAATTTTAATAACTATCTTAAATATCTTTCAAATGTGCTTAATTTGAAAGTACGTAGCTAAAATTTAAAATATAATAAACCAAAAATAAAAAAATTAATACAAATAAAATAATAAATAGATAATAAATTTTAATTATTCATAAGTTACAATTAATTCCAGTTTAATTAAAATATTTATACTTAGTTGCGGTTGTCAAAAAAAAAATTGGCCCATTTATTTAAAAAAAGTGCATAATATAGAGATAGAAGCGCGGCAATTCCACTGGATTTTCCAATTTTTGATTTCAAATGTTCAGTATTAAATTTAAAAAATTATTTTCATTCTTTTTGAAATTTTTAAATTTTTGAAAAATTATTTTCATTTCTCACAATAATGAAAATATAATTTTTATAAGAATAAGTACACTTTTTTCGATAAATTATGAAGTTCCGATGAATTTTTATGAAATCATTTTTTTTATTTGCGATACAGAAAGGACAAAGACAAAATGTAATTTTTTAAAAAAATAAAATGTTGCTGACAATTATACACGTTCTATGTGCGATAGAATTTTTTTTTTCAATATTTTCAATTTTGTTTTGCGTCTTTACGAGCCCGAATTTGGGAACGCATCTAGGATTTAATTCGAGGACCTAGTATATAATAAAGCCGTATAATTTTGATTTTTGTATATTGCATCCAATTAGCTGAATAGTTTAACACACATGCATACATACATACATACATACTTCATGTAATCAAAAAATTAACAAAATATTATGTAACAAAATAATCATAAAATTATTCTCATATGAAATTTGATCATCGATTACTCTATAATTGTTAAAATATCACCACTTTAAAAAAAAAAACCATATTATTAACTTATGTACATAAATACTTGTATGAAGTAAGTATTTATGTACATATAAATATGTACATAAATATTTCATACAAATTATAACAATATAGTAATAAAAGTACTCAAGTACTAATAAATAATTATATAATACATTCTTGTATAAATATATATTTTGTTACAAAATATGGTGTTACACTCAATATAAGGAAAACCAATATAAAAGAAAAACAAAAACGTAACAAAAGTTCTAATAAAAAATAATATCGAGTGAAGTCAAATTTAACTAAATTCTTATTTAATAAAATAGAAAAATTTAAATAACTTTCTTAAACAGAAATGATTCATTATAACCTCAACTTACATATATTTAAAAAATACCGCGCGTGAAATTTTTAACATGATAAAAAAAACTGGAGTATATAATTCATAATTACATATTACATATATATGTATGTATATAGGAACTTAATAAATTATACAAAAAAAAAAAAAAAATATTAAATTTATGTTGCTAAGCCATAAAAATTTTTATTCTAGTATAAATAGTACTAAAAAACTGTAGATATACTAAAATAGTAAAAATAGCTAGTATTTTATAAATTAGGCATTTTCATAAACACAACAATATTTAGCGAGAACTTAACTGTATTTGTGTTCATATACATATGTATATAACTAATCAAGTTTGTTCATAAACATTGCTAATCTATCACAAAAATATTTAAATTATCATGGATAGCGCAGTTAAATTAGGTGTACTATTTTTTTACTAGTTTTTGCAATTTTTATTTTTCATGAAATAGAATTTTTCACTATTTGGCCGAAAATAATTAGATTTTTTTTTTTTGCTAACAACATTTTTGTTTATGAACACAATTCCCGTCAAAAATATATTTCGTATGTTATGTATCACATTATTGTTTTGCAGTATTGTGTTTATGATAATCTCTAACATTTTTTTAGTTTCTTCATTAAAAACTCCTAAGTGTTACATATATCTTAAATAACATTAGAAATTACTTTTAATGAGATCTCAGTCTTTCTCGAAAGAAAAAAAACTGAGTTTTTAACTTATATGACATATTAAAAATCCTCTAGAGTATTTACTTATTTCGATCCTAAAAGTAAACTAATAATTATTTTTAATGACAATAAATAGTTTCCTGAATAATTAAAAGGCATTTATCTTATATGTATTTGTGAAAGAGGTGTTCATAAATGGAATACTGCAAAACGTAATACTGAAATTAATATTCAATATACTTTTAATTGTTCAATAAAATTGAAATAGTTCATACACATATTATTATACTCGTATTATTTAACTGCGTTATCCACTCATATTATAATTCTAACCATATTGCTTATTTAGCAATGTTTATGAACGAACTAGATTAGGAAAATTTGTTTATAAATATAACGTATTCAATAATATTAAAATCAAGCCTTGTAATTATAAATGCTTAATCAAATCAATTATAAAGCAAGACTTTTTATGAATTAATGGAGTACAAACAAACGATTGCAAAACTAAAAATTGTGTATGTGTTAAAAGATTTTAAAGCTTCAGTATCGTCACCTTTTTCTATTGAATTATAAAGTAATTTTATTTTTACAGTTTTACTATGCACTGAAAATTTGCGTAAAGAATATTATATATATATTATAAATATGTACTTACATATGTAATAGTCAAATACTTAAAAAATATCTTTGTTATTTAAACGTGAATTTCAGATGAGAGAAGTTTTTTTTTTTTTTTTAATAAATCAACGAAATACTCAAGTAGACAAGATATAAAAGTTGAAAATAAACATTTAAAAAAAGGTGACTATAATATTAATTACATGCGTGTCTGTTATCTACAAATATGCCAATTTCGTAGAAAAATATAATTTCTACAATTGAACTAATTTGAAATAATCTTGAAATGTTTCTATAAAGTTATACACGTACATATATATGTACATAGATTTTTTATGGATTTGATAAATATTTCGTCAAATTAATTTTGGAAATTTTTTCAATATAATTTTGGATAAAATGTGACTATTAATTTCACTCTGTCTGTCCAAAGATTAGAATTTTGTAACATTTTTTAAAAATAGAATTCTTTGGAGAAAGCATATTATTTTATCTGGAATTAAATTCCTTTACTTATCCAAAATATAAATAAATCCAACAATATAAAAAATATTTTGTAAATATACATATATGCATATACATATATATTTTTATGTATGATATTTTATTCAAAATTCAAGCGATCTTATAATCTAAACAAAATTTACTTCTTTTGATTTTTACTCACTATATATACATAATGTATGTATATACTATGTGTTCGAATAAGATTTAAAAAAGAGTGTTATTTTTTATATGAAAATTTTTAACTACATAATACATGTATATATATATAATACTGTTATACTAATATATGTATATAATAAAATCAATATTATCCTATATAATTTATTTAAATATTTTTTTTTTAATTTTAAGGATTATTAACAATAATGGGATGTGGTTTAACAATGGCCTCTCTTTTATATGCCAGAAGTGAGTTTGCTTTTTACTATGCAACTCAATCATTATTTTTTGGTGGTACAATATTGGGAGCTATTGCAGCATCAATATTATTAAAGATATTGAGAAAAGTAATTCATTACGTAAGTAAAATCAATTATTATCGATATTATACAAATAAAAAGTAATACGTCAATTATTATAGAAAAATAATTCATAATTATTATTTTGTAATATAAACTGCAAAAGTTTTTAATATTTCATTCATTTTCGAAAACTAAATTCACACTCTTATTTATATAAATTAATAAATATTCATATTACACGGTTTTTTCATAATAAAATTAAATCTGAAACTTGAGTAACTATGCTAAATTCTCTCTTAAATTCAAAATATATTATTAAAAAAATATAAACATAAATAATTAATTTTAATCAGTTTTTTTTGTTTTCTTCTTTTATTTTTAGTATTTATCAGCAATTCTGTTAATAATAAGTGCAATTCTATTTATTGCATTCGATTTATTCAATGTTGATTTAATTAAAGCTGCAGGATTTTTATCTGGCTTATCCTTTGGCATAGCACTTTTAACAGTGATAATACATGGTGGTGAAATATCTGTAAAATATCTTCGTGGTGCTTTACTAAGTAATATACAGGTTTGCTTGGACACTTCTATATTCATTGGAATACTTATTATTTTTCTTATTTCAACTAATGATCGATATACTAATACTGCAAGAATTATTGGAATTATTCAACTTATTTTCGGTATATTTGCATTACCAGCTGCCTTCTTTTTTGTTTATGAATCACCAATATTTTTACTTGAAGCAAATAATGAACAAGAAGCTGTTAAAAATTTAACATTATTAAGAAAAGAACCCAATAGTATGACATATGAAATTCATAATGAACTCGAAAATTTGAGAACAATTATAAAAAATAAATCAATTTTCAATCCATCTGAAATTATACCTTTTGTCAAAATATCTATTTACCGAATAATTTATGCATTAGGAACATCAGTTCCAGTTAACATTTTTATGATGCATTATTATTTAATTTATACAGGAGGTTATAGTTTGTATTTCTTATATGTTGGAAGATTTATTGCTACTTTAATACCAGTATATTTAATTGATGGTTTCTTTGGACGTAAAATTGTATTATTAATATCATTCATTGGCAGTGGAATATTCTTAATTGTTATTCATGCATTAGTAGCATCTGCTGGTATTCTAGATGTAGATACTATACAAATGGCTGGATTAATTGCTATTTTTTATAATATTTGTTTAGGACTTGGTGGTAGTGCTGTTACACATACATATATGTCAGAATTATTCAATCATTCATCTAAAGCATATATAAATGCTTTAATTATAACTTTGGAATACATTGTACATTTTATTGTTATTAATTTTGATTATCCATTGATTCCTGTAGGTACTGTACAACCTATATTACTTTGTACTGGTGTATTTCAAGTTGTAGCTGGCGCTTTAGCATATGGTATACTACCAGAAACAAGAAGAACAACATTATTAGAAGCTGAAGCAAAATCAAAAAAATTAATTTCACTTCAAAATTAAATAATGATAAAAAAGAAAATTATATCTTAAAAAATTATATTTAAGAGTTAATTAAAAAAGAAAAAAATAAATATTTAATTAAATTTATGAAAAATTTATTTTTATTACTCATATTATATTTTAGCTATTTTATTATACATGTAGATTATAGTATTTAATCTAATTATAGACTTTTCATAATCTAAAACCCTTTTTCATAATCTAAAATTTTAAAATCTTATGTAAAATACTTGATTTTCTTTATTCACTTATAAGTAAGTAAAGGTTCAATGCGACCTAATTTATTTTGAATATATCTACTAAATTAGTAATTTACTACTAATCTGTAGTATCTACTAATCTGTAATTTAAGTAATTTTTGAATTTTTATTTCACTTATCAACCCCAATACCCTTATTATAGTCGGCCAAGCGAATGACTAGCCGAATCGAATGGACTAGGCGAATCGATTGAAATTTTAAATTATGATTAGGGAATGCCTTTCATTAGCCAGTTCTAAAATGTTACTACCGAAAATAATGACATTGGAGACATTGTTTCTGTTTTTTTTTTTTACAAAAACAATTGAATTTTCCTATCCCTTCAGCAATGTCGGGGTTATTCTCCATTAATTTAATTAAATGCTCGAATTGTTTTTGGTTCGTTTTTTTTTCACGCTTAAATTAATTTTAAACAATCAATATTTCTTAAAATAATTTGTAGAATTTTATAAGCTTACTAAGATTTTTCTATTTTATCAGTATAAATGCTATAATATCCAATAGCAAAAAAAAACACTTGTATTATTTTAATTTTTGGTTTCATTCGCCAAACTTGTCACATAGAATTTTCATTCGACAGATTTGACAGCTCATTTGCCTAAAATTTAGGCGAATTCACTATTCATAATACCAAAAATTCATATTCGCTAAAAATTTCAATTGATTCACCGATTAAAATAAAGCGCCCAAATATGAAAATTAACTGGTTAATAAAAATATATGTATTAGAGGAACAAATTTAAGTATAACCTACTTTAAGTACATAATATACATTAATAAATATAAAATGTATAAGAAGTACAATAACATTTTAAAAAAAATAAATTCAAAAACAAAATCGAATAATGAATCAAAGTAACTAACTATAAAGCTATAATCCCTTAAATTTATAAAATAAATGGAAAACAATTAAAAATAATCTTTATTTCGATTAGATATAAAGAGATGTCTATTAGATTAATTTATACCACCTATCTTTTTTAATATTTTTTTTTCTTTTGTTTATTAAAAAAGCAAATAAACAATAAAATATTATTTTTTTTTAATTAGTTTTTGGGTAACATTTGTTTAAGACACCCCTTATGTTATTAACTATATTTATATTTTTATAAATTTAAATTAAAAACTTTCGAAATGGTTTTTGTAGTTAGAGGTGTTGAAATCGAACATGAAAATATTTATTCATTTCAATATAGAAAAAAACATATAAGACAATTAATAAATTTTATAGCAGGTAAATATGAAAATTAATAAAAACAAAACTGAAAAATAATCAGACATTCTAAATATAATTTAATAAATATTTAATATAAAATTGATAATTTTCGAATATTCGATTCTAACTTACATAGATCATATAATAAAAAACAACAAAATCTGTAAATTTAACATCATAAATTAATATTTAATTATAATAAATTTTTACTAAAAAAAGAAGCACGTCCTAAAATCATTTAAATATTTTTTTTCAAATATTGCAAAAATACACATCTGAAAAAATAAACTAATTAGTCCCTGCGAAATTTGTAATGATTCAAAAAAAAAAATATCTAAAATTTAAATTACAACTTTAAATGCATATCTCAATTATCGAAAAACCACATTATAAGGCCTAATATATTTACATTGTATGTCATTTTACAATTATGTCATTACAAATAATAATTAAATTTTTCTTTTCTCCTCTTATTACAGCTATGTTAATATTAATAGGCTGTGGTATTTTTACTGCTGTTATTTTATTTGCTCCCGAATGGTATTCTATTTATTATGAATATCAAACATTATTTTTTGCTGGTATTATTTTTGGTACAATTGTAACATCAATTCTTTTAAGATTTCTACAAAAATCAAATCATTATGTAAGTATGTATATATGTACGTAAATATTATGTGAATTATAATATAAAATTACTTACCAAATTTTAAATTTTTTAAATAAATTTTAAATAAATTTTGAATTATTATTAAAATATTGTATATTACAAATTTAATTTGCTATATAAGTAATATTTTCATATGTACACAAATAAATCGGGATAAAATTTATATTTTATATAATTTTTAATTATTTAAAAATTTAATTTATTATTTATATCAATAGCTGCTCATATTAATATTATTAAAATAAATTAACAAAATTTTCTTTTTATTATTGGTTTTTGAAACTCTCTTGTTTATTAAATTAAATTATCGTAAAATAATTAGTGAAACGTCAAATGTCATTTTGACAAATTTGAATATTTTACGATCAATCTAACTAAGAGAATATTTCAAATAAATGACAACACACTGTTAATAAATGAATTAAGTTGAAAATAATTTTTTCTTAATGGTGCAGTAATTAATAAAATAAATTAAATATAATAAATAATTGAATTCAGATAAATATCATAACATTATGTTTTTGTAATACAATAAGGTTTCGCAATTATTGTCTTATGAAAATCTCTAAAATCTTTAAGAAATAACTTTCTTTTGCTACGAATATGTGGTAACCTGAAACATTATCTTGTTCCAATTTTTAAAATAATTATATTTTCTTTTTAAAATTTAAAAATTACAATAATTAATGGTGATAATGTTTTAATATTAAAAAGCTATTATAATTTTTAATATATATATATTATACAAATATTTATACATACTTATAATAATTTTTATTTTAATTTTAGTATATAGCAGCTATTTTATTAATATTAAGTGGTGCACTCTACATATGTTCGGATATTGAAAATTACAAGATAATTATGACTGGATCATTCTTTATTGGAACATCATTTGGAATAACACTAATTACATTTATTATACATGCTGGTGAAATATCAATTAAATATTTACGTGGATCTATAATTAGTTATATACAATTGAGTATAGATATCGGAATTTTAATTGGATCAATTTTTATATATGTAATACAAAATAATAATAATACATTTTTCATAATTGGTATAATTGAAATTATATTGGGAATATTAACATTACCATTAATATTTTTCTTCGTTTATGAATCACCATTTCATCTAATTGAATCAAATAAAGAAAAAGAAGCAATTGATAATTTTATTAAATTAAGAAAAGAACCAAATAAAATTACATATGATATTAAAAATGAAATTGAAAGTATAAAAAATATAATAAAAATTCAAAATAATCCATGGATTAATTTTAAAGATATTATACCAATATTAAAAGTTTTTATGTGCCGTTTTGCATTTACATTAGGAATATCTACACCAATTAATGCACAAATTTTAAAATATTTTCATTATCATTTAAATAATAATATATTTTATACAATATTTATTGGAAAATGTTTTGCAAATTTAATACCAATATTTTTAATTGATAAATTGTTAGGACGAAAACTGATATTATTAACATCATTAATAGGTAGTGGAATATTTTTAATGATAATTCAAATTATGGCATCATCATATATGAATAACAATGATTATATGAAAGATTTACATGCCTTAGAAATAGCTGGTCTATTAACATTTATATATTATTTATTTCTTGGATTTGGTTCCAGTTCAGTTTGTTATACATATATGTCAGAAATATTTGAATATTCTAAAAAAACTTATATTAATGCATTAATTTTAACAATGGAATATATTATACAAATATTAATTATTAATTGTTCATTTTTAAATCATTCATTGGAAACTTTAATATTTTCTACGGCAACATTACAAATTTCAGTTGGTGCAATGTCATATATTTTATTGCCCGAAACTAAAGGGAAAACTTTAAAAGAATCAAATGATTTAGCAAAATATTTTATAACTGTTCAAAAAACTTATAAATGAATTTAAAAAAAAAATAAAATAAGTTTATATATAGTATAAAATTTTCTTCTTTCATTTGTGATATTAAGAATTTTTGATTTTGATTCTAATATTAAAAAATATTTAATTCAAAAATCACTTGAAAAAGGTTTAAAAATGAAAGGTTGTACAATGTTTATTAGTAATCAAAATATTTTATTCAAAATTTGCAATTTTACTACAGGTCATTAAGGTAAATATATTTTGCTTTTAAAATTCTATATGAATTAACCATTAAAAATTTTAAAACTAAATTAAAAAATAATTAAAAATTTGTTCGGTTAACTTTTCTATATAAATAAACAATTAATGAGCAATATCTTGTAATGCTTGTTATACAGTATTAGAGCCGAAAAGAAAAAACATCTTTTCTACATACAAAATTCATATTATATCTATTATCTGCTCCCCAGGTAACATTTTTTCTGCAAGCTACTCCAGAAAAATCGCATCCTCCATGACATGTAGATGGAGAATCTTGAAGTCCATTGGATGACAAAACTGGGCTACCAAAGTAAATTTGCCCACCTACAATTCTTTTGTCTTTGCACTAAAAATACATACATACATATAAAAGTATTATTTAGATATTACAGAATTTTATATTTTAAGGGGATATATTAAAAGTTAATGTTTAATATTATATTATATTATTTTAATATATTAAAAGTTAATTATTAATATGCGTGTACTTACATTATCGCATCTATTGCACATTTTTGTTTATTCCAAATTTTGATAACTAATTTGATTATAATGAAATTTTAAAGTTTTAATTAATTGTAATGTAAATTAATTTAAAAAATTTTGGTTTTTGGTCTGAACTTCTCACAATTCCGAATTTTATTGAAATATTTTTTTTCTGTTTTTTAAAAAAATTATATGATTAATAAACATGGCATTCTCAGTTTCAATATTTTTCAATCAAAAAATTTTCAATTTTAATTTATTCACACAAAGCAAGTATATTATGTACCTCTTGAAAAGTTCAATGAAAACTATAAATTTGGGGGAGTTCAGCTCGATTTTTGAAAAAAATATTTTTATGAAATTTACCTTTATAATGGTGAATTAATCAAAGACTCATATTAAAAATGGTCTAAATAATAATATATTAATAACATTACGTATAACTGTATAATAATGTTTAAAGTATACAATAGATATTATAAACTTACATAACAAAATATTTACAAAAAAAAAAAAACAATATCAAATTTTTAAAATTTCAACAAATTCTTAACCTAATTAATTTTATATTCATAAACATTAGTTTTTTCATAATTTGGTCATATGCTTGCAATTATAGTCCAATTAAAATCAAATTTTAAACTAGTGTGTTTTGCTCCCTTCTTCCTGTTCTTTTTGCTCTTTTATCCCACATACGTGCTGCTTGAGCAACAAAACCACTTTTTAATGGTCTATCAATATTATCATCATCTGTAAAATAATCTTTTTCTGGCAATGGACCTGGATACTCATCATTTTTTTTACATGAATTCATAAAATAATTATTACTATTATTATTATTACTGTTAGCATTAACATAATGTGTTCTAGCATCAGCTCTATAAAATCGATCATCATTATTCGATGATTGTAAATAATTTTCACGATATTCTTCATTATACAGTCTTATAGGTCGAATAACTTTTTCTTTAATTGGACGTTTCTTTTCTGGTAATAGAACTTTTGCAAATATTGGTTGTTCTCTTACTGGTAATGTTTTTGTTTGAACTATATCAACTTGATCACCTGGTCGAAAATAATATCCATTAGGTGGTATTGCTTCTATATCTGGTGATGGTATTGGTGTTAAATCAACTCTATGTATTGATTTTATATTTTTATCTTTATTATTATTAATATTTTCATTTGTTATTTCATTTTGATAATCTAAATGTGATTGAATATTTGCTAATGAAGATGAATTTTGTTGCATAGAATTTTGACTATTTGGAAAATTTAATTCATTTTCAATTGTTTGTGTTGATCTATTTGTTGTACGTTCCATTGGATCTGCTAAATCAATTAAAAATAAAATAGCAACTAAATATGATAATGTACCAAGTATTAATGCATTATCATGTAAATCTGGTTGAACTTGTTCAATAGAAGCATATACTAAACTACCTAAAAAAAAAAAAAATAACATCAAAAAAATATTATTAATATTATTAAATAATGAAAAGAATTACAATAAAAAAATATTAAATTACCTATTGTAAAGAAAAATAGCATGCCAACAGTCAAAAAAATTTTTTCAGTAAGTGTTGGACGGGATCTTGAATTGATGCATCTGGAAAAGGAAAAAAAAAAGTTTATGAGCAATAATTATTAAGATATTAATTTATTTCTTATATCTCAAGTGAGCAAAAAGCCCGTACATAGCGTTATGATTTTAATATTTTCTAAGTATACAATTCACAATTCTTGATATAATATTCTATAATAACTTAAAAACTATTAATAATATTGCTATTCAAAATAATCTACTGCGACACCATAGTCTTCTATTCACAATAATTTATTGCATCACTATCTTAATGCCATTAATTTTTATTTCGAATTTTTTAATGTAAAACCAAAAATGACAATTCGAAATAAAAAATCCTCCGCACGTGCTAATTCGGAGAATGCGAGATCATGAGAATTAATTCTTAATTAATACTTACGAAGCAAATAAATTAACATTGAAATTATTTTACAGTTTTTTAAAAAAATTTAGAACTAATAAATGTATTAAAATTTTACAATATATGTACATTTAAACACACACATAATAAAATCATGCAAAATCACGAGATAAGGAAGTTAATTTATAGTTATAAAATTTTTCCATCAGCATGAAGTAATTACTGCTATTATTATTTCATTGTCAATATTCTTATATACCATGTATAAAAGAAAATTAGCTAATAAAATTTTCTCATACATTTATGGCTATACATACATATTATGTATAAATTAATGTTAGTATAATATACAATATGTTGTGTTATTTATGGAAGGTACACACATTGAATGTATAAGCTTCATAAATTAAGTAATTCTCATTAATAATAAAAATAATATACTAAGGGCTATTCATAGAACTAATATGAAAAAGAATAATAAATCTCATTCGATTATAGTCTTTATAATACAAACAAAATTTTTGCATTAGAACCTATACATAAAACTTAAAAAATATTCACATAATTTACCTATTGATAAAAATAATAAAGCAAAAATTAAATGAAAACAAAAACAAAGAAAACAATGCTTAAAAATGTACATACAATAAAATTAAAACAAAAAAAAAAATTTACCTGGAAATAAGTAACAAGGCTGTTATTAACGTAAATCCACCATAAGTCACGCTAGCAAAGGCATTGCCCTCTCTAGACCATGTAACATTGCTCAATAAACTCCATTCCCTTGAATATTTTTGATTCCTTAATTGTATTCTTCTAGCTTCTTGATCAGTTAGATTTTTTGTAATTACACAGGCAATGCATCCAATCTACAGTTTTATAAATTTTTTTTTCTTTATTAATACATATGTATGTATTTTGTATGTAGTTTATAAAATTTATTAATTAAATTTAAAATGCAAGTGTATAACATTTTCTTAAGTAGGTAGCACAATATAATATAGTAAATAAAATAAATTATATAATTGTATAATATAATTTTTTTTATTATTATTGGAACGTGTGCATAAAAAAAATACAAATAAATAGGTTGAAAGTATAATATATTATATGTTGTATATATATTATGTATATATACTTAAATTGCACATCCGTAATGCCATTTATTAGTTCCACAATTATTATTCTTTTTACATCCGATCCAAAAAGAGCGAAAATCATTGTATATACGCAAAAAATAACTGCCGTAAACATGAAAGAAGAAAGTTAACATCGTGAGTCACGAAAAAAAAAAGTGTTATACACTTATACCATTAATATATGTATATGTAAATATGCATGATAATGAGTTCAAGCAGTGATAAGATCAGCTTAGTCTCACAATGCTTGTTATTTTCTTTTATATATAAAACTAGAAGTATATAAAACTAGAGTAGAAACTCGATAAATATTTTTTTTCGACAAAAACAAATATTGGTATTTTGCCGTTTTCAATAAATTGTTTTTTAAAGTAAGTACAAGTTGCTTTGTTATATCGTAAATTTTAAAATTGCAAAAAAAACCTCCTTTTTATTGAAAGAAATTAACAGTCCAAAATATAATTTAAAATACATCTACATTCAATAAGAATTTATCGAACTTTTGAAACTAAAAAAAAAATGAAATTATAGCGAACCGCTACCTACCACTCTACTCTACGTTATAATATGGTATACTCATTTTATGCTATATAAAAGACAAGCAGCAAAAAAAAAAGTAATGTAAGTTCTGTTAAACTTTATCAATTTAAACAGAGTGTTATGGAATTTTCAAGATAAAATTGTAAATTTTAAAAAATATCAATATTTCGAGAATCAGAACTTTAATATTTTTTTATATTTATTAAAATTATTCAAAAATTATTGTAAATTGCATTCAATAAAATTCATATATGTATATACGAGTATATACTTTACATACGTGAATAAATCATACTATTTAGAGTTTTATAACTTATATTACGTATATACGTAAACACTGACTAGAAATTCATTGCAATTTAACATTGTGTTCATAATTGTCTTGACATCTTATCATAATTGTCGACATAATATTATGACATAATATTATCTCGACATAATATTATGCAATTAAAAAATTTAATATTTTACATAATTTACAGAGTATATAATTCTTTATAAAATATTAATATATCTTGTAATCCGAATTTTAACATGCATATAACACGCATATTATATTAAAATTACATATTTATATTAAAATATTAATATTATTAAATTACAATTATTATAATAAACAAAATTTTATTTACGTATCAATTTCAAAAGAGAATTGCCGAATAACTTTTAAAAGTGTATGCCCTGTTAGTATTAACCTAAAAACCAAAGATCTTAAAAATTCTCTTACTTCATAAATTTTCGGAAATAAAAATATTATACAAAATTATACAATAATAAAATTATGTCACATATGAACTGGATAAAATTCAATATTTTTATTTTGCCAACTAACTATCAGTATGTATAATATTATAACCATATCAGTTTTATAACAACCTCTTTTAAAAAAATTAATGTACCTGCTTATATTAGAATAAATTTTAATTTACTTTTTTCAACACTTATAGAATACTCTGTGAAATATTCTTTTTTTCATATTGTAACTGATTTATTTTAATTTTTTATATATATAAGTATATTTATAAATATAAAATATGTATATACAAGTATGTACATATTATACACAATCATATATAAGAAGTAACCTAAATAAATTGGAACAGTTACACATTTTATTGTTATATTATAAGGATTTTGTAAAAAAGAAAATTGAAAATTTCAGGCCGTTACAATACCACAGTTGTGCGTTATATTGCACCTCTTCCTAAACGCAGTATATCGCAATATATTTTGTATTCATAAACAAATTTTGCTAACCAAATAAACATGGTTAATTTAATATAGCAAAATTAGCAGTTAAATCAAATGAACTGTCTTGATTTTACGGAATAGTTAAAATTTTATTGCATATTCATCAGGTCATATTGCGTTTTTGAAAATCTCTATAATTTTAAAATAGTCATGTGCAGCTTTTGCAGGATTATTAACTGGATTTTAAAGTAAAAAAAATTGTCTCTGTTCCTAGTTTTTTGCCATGTGTAAATGTTCCGAAATTAATTTTTCGAATTAATATTTTGAGAAATTCACTGGAAATTTCCTCAATTTGTTTAAAAACAAATTGCAAAAAAAATTTTTTTACATTTTTTTAGAAAGAAGAATTTGCAATGGAAAAATGATTCTTAAATAAAGCTTGCACGTAAGATTTAATGAGATTTTTAAAAGTTTTCGCTACTGCCGCAACTAGACGAACCGAATTGTAAACCAAGGCTGTATATTGTACATACTTAGCAAATAACACTTTGAGATAATGTCAAACGTATAAGTGAAACGTATTGCAAATTAAGCATTTTGAAGGATCTTGAGGATATAATTTGTTTGTTTAATTAAAATATTGTGTTTTAATTAAAATTTATGTATTACGAGCTATTATAGGGCTAATTATATAAGGTATTGAAAGCGGCATAAGTTCTTGTACAAATGACAAAGTTTTTTTAAAATCTCTTTAATATTATTAGTATTATTAGTATTAATATTATATTATTATTTTATTATTACATTGCATTATTGAAATTTAAAGTAAACTTTAATTTTGTACTTATAAATTTGAAGAACTTTTTAATGTCTTGTATCAGGAAATTTTAATAATTTTAATTTACAATTATCAATACCATAATATAAATATAGGCATTAAAGTCTTTTGTTTTTTAATATTAAATAATCGCTATATATATATATAAATATTGCAATATTACATTTTAATTATTTTTATTATTAATTTTAAACAAACCCTTTGCAATGTTCTTTTTTAAATTAATTTAGCTGAACCTGGTTAGGACTTTAACAAAAAAAAAAAAATAAATTACAAGAAATGCAATTTTACTAGCTTAATAACTTTTTAAAAATTACTTATTGAAATATTTAATTTTGAAATTCATAGAAATATTGTTAACATTTACATTTTATACATGATTTAAATATTTTCATTGCTTATAACATATAAGAATTATAAGAATGTACATTACTTTTTTTAAATTCTTTAAATTCATTTATTTATATTAAAAATTATTTTTAAATTTCTTTTTCTTTATTCAAACAACATTAATTACTTTTTCAATATATCTAATTCCATTTTATTAAATTTTATTCTATAAACTAAAGATGAATTTTTAATTCTATTTTAAAATAGTCAAATAATAAATTTATTAATTATATACTCGTAATGAATATTAAACTAACAAAATTTTTGCTTCAATATAACAATTTTTGGATATGTTTTCGGCCCAGAATTAAATAAAACTCATAATACTTTTAAACTACTATAAAATTAGTAAAATATAAAAATTTATAATATTTATAACATTATTAATTATTACAATTATTATAAAATACTTATATATTAAAAAAGACTTTTAAAATCAAATAGATTAAAACACTTACAAGCTCAAATAATTTTAAAAGTACACGAACAACAGCATGAAACATTTTTTTTCTTTATTAAAAAAATCTACATTTGATTTGTCATTTTATTCCAATTATTTTTTTTTTTTATATTTTTTAATTAAAATTTGCTATTCTTTTTTAAATTATTATTTCAATTTTTTTGCAAATAAAATCGAAAAATTTAAAATATATTGCAATTCAAGGGCTATGAGAAATCATTTTTAATTGATCCTAATATTCTTCTAAATTCCTAAGCACACTAACTATTAAGATTTTATTTTTATTTTCATTTTATTATTTATTCAATATTATATCAATAAATTAATAACTATATTATAATATAGTTAGTATATTTTTCGAATTGAATTTTCCTTCTAAATGCATTTATATTTTTATATCCATAAATATAAATAATAAATCGTATTTATTTAGTTCTAATCTTTCATTCTAAAATTTTTCTTTAAAATCTTTACAATGATGATCACACATTACAAATGATAATTACTCCGTTAATATACGCGCGTTCTAATCAAAGTTTTATGAAAAACTAACCGAGTTTATGTTCTATTATTAAATTGAAAATTGTAAAAAACAAAAACAACAAGTATATAAAGTATAATACATTCATATTATTATTATGTACATAGTAAGTGTATATAGAAAATTAATATAAAAGAAAAATTAATAATAGTATGTGGAAAAAAAAATGATTATCTATTTATTGTTTTCCAAGTCCCCATCATAGATCTCAATTATAAAAATAATGCCTGTTCAACTATATTTATACATATATGTATAATACAAATACCTTGTACATAAAATAATATGTACATATATAAAAAATATAAACTAACAAACTTAAAAACAATAAAAAAATTAGTTATTGTTAAGTTAGACAAAAAAAAAAACAATGAAAGAAATTGCGATTATAAAAACGTTAAACTAAAATCATTGGAAAAGATTTTTTTTTTTTTTACATACAAAACAAGTAAAGGGAAAATGGGGATAATAACAATCAGTAAATTTATAATTGCATAAAAAATTTTTTTTTTTATTTAGAATTCTTGTTGTGCAATATTAAATTTTTTTCGCTATTCTAACTTATGTAGTAAGAAAAAACCATCGTTTTCTTGTAATGTACGTATGTCTTGTAAGACCACTAACTAAACTGAATACCTTAAATAATATTTAACAATTAAATAATAATATTAAATTTAATATTATTAATTATTTTTAAAAAATTTGTTAATTTTTTCGAAGTATAATTCTATAATATTTTAATAAATCTAAATTGCAATATGCTTAAGATAATTTGAACGCTAAACACAAATTTGTAACATGTACTTTTTGAAACTTTTTAAATTACTTCAAATTTTCTTCAATAATTCAACAATTACTTATATTTGAAATATTATTAAAAAATTCACAATTCATTTTATTATGAAGAAAAATTTAAGATATTTTTTTTCAAATTTCTAATATTTGACATTATATTGGTCGCGGTGCAATTTGCACAAAGTTATGATCATATTGCATTTTTTTTTTCTATTTCAGTTATGGGTCCAATTCAAATCAAATCTACTTTAAGTGAAATTACACATTAAAACCGATTTTAACATTAAAAGGCTATTAAATCTATTAAAATTTTATAAAATTAAAAAAAAAAATCTATTTTAAATCTGTATTATTTTCTATAATTGATTAAAAACTTTCCGAATTTAAAAATTAAATTTATTTTATATATATAAACTAACAAATATTAATATATTAAAATTAAAACGTTTCGGCAAATTTTAGTAGTAGTTAATTCATTACCCATTATAAATTTACCTATTTATCATTACCTATGTATTGATAAATCACATATTACGTCATTTTAAATAAACTTTATTCTAATTTTAAAAATTTTATATATAAATTTTCTTTTATCTATTTATATTATTACAGCTATCTTTAAATCAGTTACTTATTTATTATATTATATATACTATATACATAATAAAAATTTCATTTTGTTTTCATTCTTTATTTCTGTTCATTTCATTTTACTTTTTAACCGAGTTTCTATATTTAATATTTATTTATTTTACAATTTATTCTTTTAGCTAAAGTTGCATACATTTTTAATGATTGTGCTCGTATATAAGAGTAAAACAAAAACAAAAAAGAATTATGCACGATTAATAAGTTATATGAGGTTTTTATAGGGAACTAAATAAAGTATATAGGTATTATGTAAATATATAAAGTAAGTTCATAGCTACTCATCTACTTTAAGGTTCATAAATTAATATTTATTTTTTTTTTTTGAAATTTTAAACCGAAAGAACGCTTTACACTTAATCATATTCAATTATTTTAAGAATAATGAATATTCAATGTATGTAACAGTACCTAGTTGAAAGAAATATTTCTTTTGTACTACATGGATTTCATATTTATGTATAATTGTATATGCTTTGTGCACGTGATAATTGATTTACATAATATTGGTTTTTTATATTTCTATATAAATAAAATGCTTCTATATACTAATACAATATTTAAAATTAAATAAAATAACTTAATTAACGTCTTCTATACCCAATTGTGATTTCATAGTTGGAAAAATGTTGGAAAACTGACCAAAATTTGTAATTCTCATGCCTAAAAAATGTTGTAAATTTAATATAAAGTAAAATATATAATATATAAAATGTAAAAATATATAAAAATATACTAAACTCTTATATACCAAAATTTTTCCGAATGCAAGTTTCAACTTCTTTGATTTTGATGTATGCATTCCTTGATTAAAAAATTGATTTTAATTTTATGACTTCATCTTTTTTAGCCTTAGCAAATTCATATTAGTTTTCTTCTCTTAAAATTTAAATTTTCTGTAATAGTTTACATACAGCCCCTTGCTTTTTATGTACCACATGCATAATTCCGCAAAATATCTACTAAATCTATAAAAACTAAGAAAGCAAAATATTAATTAAGTAATTGTTATTAATTACATGAAAATTTAAATATTTTAAAATTTAGAACAAATTATTCCCATTAAATATAAAAAATTATTTTCAACAAAAATTTTTCAAATTCTACAATAAATTTCTTTATTAGTTATTTTTTTAATTCTAATATATTTAAACTTGTATCATATATGTTATACATACAATATTAATTGTACATTGTGTTTAATATTTTTTTATATTTTAAAGAACATTGATATGCATTTATTATAAAATAATTTACAATGTTGTGGGAATAAGGTCATGATTGCTACCATTATTGCAGTTTAGATAAATGAAATTTCATACCTACTTATGTTTCTATAGAGTGGAATATTCTTGATAAAAAAAAAAAGTACATTAGTATATCATGCTTTTCATATAAATAATATTAGGGTTTTACAATCCATTTATGTAATTTACAGAGTGTATTGAAATTGCAATAGAAGTCAAAAATAGTAGAGCAATAATTATATTGTTATAAAATATTATTTTTTCATTCTATTTCAAATTTTATTGTGCTTCGGTAATCTAAAACAATACTTTTAAGATATATTTTTATGAAAATTAATATAAAGATGCTTCAGTTCAAATAATTTATATTAATTTATATTATAACTATAAATCTAGATCTTAAACCGAATAGAATTATTGTTAATCATTTAATTATTTTTTTTTCAAATTGCAATAATATCTACATTTTTTCTATATTAATACGTTTTACACAAAGAAACAAAAAACAATATTAAATTATTTTTACTAAACGCGCAATATTATAATTTACACCACAAATCATAATTATTAAGACAGGAATTTTATTGTGGTTTAAAAAATAATTTTAATCTAATTTTAGGTCATTTTATGGTGTAAAACTATGGTCAACTACAATGCAAAATAATAAATGATAAACAGCATTAATTAACATTAACCTGGCAATTGCAAGATTCGAATAGCACAAAAGCATGATAATGTTAAATAATTTTCAATATTATTTCAAACACATTGTTGGTAAAAAAACAAAGGAAAAAGTGAAAAAAAGGAATTGCAAAAAATGTGCGAATATTTGAATACTACATCACTAGATTCACGAAAAATATGACTAGATATATAAATCACATATAAATGTATGTAAATGTTATATAAAAAAAATATTATTTCAATATAAATTAATACATCCATATTTTTTAACATCAATTCTTAATAAAAAATAAACTAAACTCTTAACAAAATTATTGAAATGCTATACTGAAAAGCTAGACCGTCCAAATTAAATGTATAAAAATAAAAAATACATTTTTCAACTTTAACTTATGAAAGTTTGAAAAAAAATGCTTTATTGTCTCGCAATTAACTCTACCAATTTTCGCACATTTCAATAATTAACAAATATGAAAAAAAGAATATCAATTTTAAATTTCATTTAATTTACAAACTGAAAATGAATAATATTAGTAGTATATTAAAAAATGTAATTAGTTCTATTTCAAAAATTCTTTAAATACAATTCTTTTCAATAATAGAACAGAAGTCCTGTAGGCAATCTTTAACAAATGTTTTCCAAATTTCTTGTTCCACATGTATAGAATAAGATTTGAATTTATCATTAAATTTAGCCAAGTTAGCTTTATTTTGTGCTATTTCTTGATCATATGATACAATCATCGGTTGTAAAATACGAATTCCTTGACGAATCCTAAAAAATTTAATTTAATTGTTAATAGATAGAAAAACGGAATTAGTCTAAGTAACATATACAAATTAACGTTAGCTTCAGTCACATTAGTTAATTGTTTCATTTTTGTTTTAAGTGTTTTGATGAGTTCTATAATGTGTTCATAAATTTCATTAAATTGCTCTAAATTTTCATAAGCATTTTGAAATAATTCTAATGCTTGAATTTTATTGTCTTTCAATGGTGACAAATCAAATTTAAAATATTCAGTGAAAATGCGTTTACTATGACTTTCCATTCTATTTTCAAACTCTTCAAACAGTTTTTTCTCTGAGATGATAGAAAAAAAAATTAAATTAATGAATTTTATCCCCATCTAAACTATTATATTATTCTCTGTTTATTCTAATTAAATTTTCATTTTTTATATTACCAATATTCAAGTTTTCGAAATTTGTTGATTGTCGTTCATTTGTTTTAACCTTTTTATGTTTTTGATTCATACACGCAGATGATTCAGATGATTTTTTTTGAGATGTACGTATTTCCAATGGAACGTTGGTGCAAATCTTTGATTCAACCATATTTTTTTCTAAAAAATAATATATTTAATTAATTGTAAAAAAAAAATTTTACAATTTCATCAATTAAAGTGTTCAATTCTCATTCATGAAAAATTTATTTAATTTTATTTTCATAAACAGTTTGGTACAACTAAGGTTAAAATAATCAACTTCAATAATAATTATAGGCGATGTTAAAAAATAATTAATTATATAATTATAAGTAATTATTAATGTATGTATATATGTATTATTACTATTAATTAAAAATGTAGTTAATAACTTAAAAATTACAATAGAATCATGCAAAAATGCAAATTTAATATTAAGAATATAAGGTGTGAACAATTATTAATAATATTGTTATACTTAAAAAAAATAGTTTCTAACACTGGTTTTTGAAATTCGAAAAAATAACTAAAAAGTGTTACTGCCAATACCAACTTTTAATTTTATAATTATGTTAAAAATTCACCTTTCGTAGAAGTTATATTAATAATTGGGGAACAATGATTTAAATTCATATTTTCATTATGCCTTAACAAATCCGGTGAGCTTATATTCATCAAATTATTTTCCTCCACTGGTTGTAACAGATCGTTTATTGGGTGAACTGATTTATCAGACAGTGAATTAAAGAATTTTTCATATATTACATTTTTGTCAATATCATCATTTAGATTTTCATCAATCGTCAATTCGTTGACTGTATTCTTCGATTCATTAGATTTATTTTTTTTTGATTTGGGTGTTATATGCTAAAAATTTAAGTTACCCTGTAGATTATCAAGAAATGCATTCAAAGTTTTTGCAATGTAGTTACCTTATTATGATTTCTATCTTCTATGGATTCATGTATTAAATGATTTTGTGCCCTGATTTTCTTTTTTGGTGTATCAATTATTTTGATCTAAAAAAAAAAGAATCAAATAAAAATTAATGGAAATTACCGGAGGCTTCGGCAATTTTATCATTATTAAATATTAACTAAAGGAAAATTAATAATCTTTCTTTTTTTAACTGATATTAAGAAAGGGAATGGTAATATTTAAAATTCAAGCCATTATTGCTCACAAAAATATGTAAGCAAAAAAAAAAAATTATACAAAACAATTAATATCTTTCAACAATTTCTATTATTTTGATATACTTCAAATAAAAATTACAGTGGATTTGGTAATATCCCCTTCAAACGACCTCTTTTTTGCTTTTTTCGCTGACATTTGATGATTTCCTGAAATATAAAATGGAATTTAACTCTTAAATTGTTAAAAATAAAATTCATATGAAAAATAATAATTGTAATTGCAATACTCCGTTTTTTTGATCCAATTGGTGCATCTTTTAATATATTATTTAAAGCATAAACATCATGTTCTTTCGGATCGGTTTTAAAAAAACGTTGAACCGACCGATCTGCTGCTTTTGATATTACATCACAATTTTTAATTATAACTTCACGTTCAGTTTGAGAAAATTTCTTATAATTTTCTGGTTGACTTAAAGCTGTTTTTATACCAATTAAACCATGATTTTTAGCATATTCATCAACAGCTTTATTTAAATAATTTTCATCTTCTATTAATGCAACATCATTTTTTTCTGTGTTCCTAACATTACTGATATTTTCCTTATTATTATTGTTATTATTAACATTTTCAGGATTGTTTTTATACAACGGTTTAACCAATGATACAAGACAAAGACTTTGATTTTTTGTATCATAATATTTCATAGCGAAATTTTTTCTCTCTTGCTGCTTTGCGAGAGTTATATCCGAAGAAGATATTTCATCAAATTTTTGAACTTTTGATGGGGTACTTTGCATTTTTTTATGTCTTTTTTTGTTACTATTATTTATGCTTTTAATATGTTCCATTTTTTCATTTTTATTATCATTATATTTATCATTTTTAGTGCTATTATCATTTTCAATATAAATGTTATCATTAATCATGTTTTTTTCTTTATCATTACAATTCTTTTCAAAAATTAATTGATCACTTATATTATTACTCTTTGGTAAAGGCATTGACAATGGTAATTTATTTCCCTAAAAAAAGAAAATTAATTTTAATTGAAATTTGAAAATAAAACAATTAGGTCTCAACATTTTTGCTAAAAATTCTAAAATTTACAAAAACATTAATAAATTATTTTCAGAATTACTATTTTCACCTTTTGTTGATCTTTATTATCCTTATTTGATAGTTTTAAATTATCAAAATCATCATTTCTATAATTCAAAAATTTTATTTCTTCATTAATTCTTTCAAAATTTTTAATTTGTTCAATTTTTTTGCTTTCGCTAGATTGAGAATTCTTTTTACGTCCTTTTCTATCTTTATAGAAGTTACGAATTTTATAACTTTTAAAAGATTCAGTTGATGCAGAAGAACTATTTGAAGAACTATTATTGCCATTTTCCTCATCACATCTTGATAACTTAACAAAACATTTATTTTTCAAGAGTGAATTCATTTCTACGAAATTTTTATCTATAAATAAATTTTCCTTTTAATTAACTTTAAAAAAAAAATTTAGCTATATAAAATAATACTGGCATCAAAAGTATATTTTGGTCCTGTCTGTTTCGTAGTAGTTGAACCAGTAATTATTGTAGAAACAGGCGACATCAGCATGTCATTCTGATTTTTTCGGTTACAATTGCTATGATTTTCTGTAGTTTCAGAAGCTAAAACTTCTGTGAAAATATTATTTTTTCGTAGTTTTGAATTTTCGGATGTGGGCTTTTCTTTTATAAAAAAAAAAATTGGAAAAACAAGTAAAAAATCATTGGTAAAATACTAAATTAAATACTTACCATGAGACAGAAAGCTCTTAAAATTTTTAAATCCCAATTTTATTCCATTAATATTTTTAATTTCATTTACTTTCACATTTTTCATAAAATCAATTATATTTTGTATAATATTATTAGCGCATTTTTGTGGATTATATTCTATTTTTAAACTTTTTAAATTCATTGAATTTGATTGAATCACAGGATTATATTTTTCTGGTAAAATCTTTGGATCCGATTTAGAAGAAATGAAAATAGTAGATATACTATATTTATATAGAATAAAAAAAGATAGAATCAGTAATAATGAAGATTAAATTTTCTTTATAAAAAAAAAATATTTTTATATAGAAGGTAGAAGAAACAATTTTTTATTTTATAATATACCATCAATATTGAATTGGATTTTATTATATTTTTCCATTATTCACTTACCCATCACTTTCAATATGATCAACAAATATTTCAAATCTTACTCTTTCATCAGAAGGAATTTTAAAGGTACGAGCAGAACATTCGAATGAGACACTTTTACTTTTTGAATTAAAATCCACCCATAATGGGCAACCATTATGGTATGGCATTCGTTTTTTCTTTCCCAATTTAATTTTCTTAACTTCTAACTCATTTATGAAAATTGAAATAACTTTTTCAGAAAATACCGACATTTCCTCAGATAATTCAAGATTTATAATATTAATATATTTACGACAACAAAGAAAAAATTTTTTTGAATAAAGATTTTCAATCAGTTCTTTGATGTTACGCTTGAAGCTTGGTAATATTATATTATCAAGTATTTGAATCAATTTCTCTTCACTAGCTGATTTAAAATATGTTATAAGTAGAGTAAGACCTTTGTATTGTGTTTCATAATTTCCAGCTAAGTAAATATTGTCTAATATTAAAGGTCTGCAATAAAATATAATGAATAAATTTAAATTAAAAAAATAAATAGGTATATAAATCAAAAGCAAAAAATCTTACATAACACTTTCTGCTTTATCAAATGTCTTTTTGAAAAACTTGCTTGTTAAAAGTTCTGAATTCAATAATGTCCTCCATTTTTCAAAAAGTTTACCAAGATACAATGGATTAGAATTTTTAAAAGACATCAATAAAGAACAATAATTAATTACATCGTAAGCAGTTTCCTCAAATTTTTCTTTCTCGTATGAGCTCTTACATTCATTCCCTACAAACTAAAAAAACAAGTAAAATTAAAAATTTTTAGTTACAAATAAAGAAATATTTATATTCTTCGCATCAAAACAATCACTTGAATCGTGCGTAATTAAAAATATTGCAATATTATTACAAATAAAACGAGGTTTGCAAATTACACCATGATTTCACTGAAAATATTGAGTCGATGCGTAAAAAACTTTTGTTTTTTGCCTTACACATAGAAAATTGTAGCCGTCTATTGGAGTCTTCTTTCCACATCTTGTTTAAAATTAAAAAAACCAATTGCAAAACTACTAGCAAACACATGCATGACCAAAACACCAAAGCAAACACATGTAAAAACACATGCAAGTAAAAAACAAGACATGAATTTATTCATGTATCAACTAGTGATTCCATTTTACCAGCTCGTGAATTATTTGTAAGTTACCTTATCTACATACACTGAAATCTTACAATTAATTTATAAATTTTTATCAATCTTACCAATAAGCAATCCAGTGAATCTAACACTAAATCAATTACCACGTCCCCATATTTATTTTTACATATCTCCAATTGTTGAAAACAAACTTTAAAAAACATCCATACTGAATCATTCTAAAAAAAATACCACAATTAGATGATACTACTTTGAATTTTTTCACAGGTTCCAATTATGTACCATGATTGTTTACTTACAAATAAACTTAATTTTTTTATTTTGTTAATTTTCCTATGAAATTTCTCCCGTAATTGATCGCTTTTTGAATATGTTGAAAACATTGAAACGCTTAATTCGGAATCCATTAAAAAAAAAACGTTTGATGACGCCTTTATTGGTAAAATATTTTAAAAAAATAGTTTTTTGATTTGGAAATATATTTGTTTAAATATTATATAAAAAGTTTAAATACGCTGTTTCTACTTCTCTCAATTTAGAGAAATATGGTTATTATGATTCATCCGATGAAGTAGCCTAGACATACTTAGACTTTAAAATTTTGATTTTAATTACAAAAAACTGTTATACTGTTCTTAGTCTTACTCTACTGCTTATTCTTACACAAAAACAGTTCGTTCGTTAACTACAAATGAACTAAAATTATAAAGTTTTCAATATAATTATTGCATAGAGTAATATCCGAAATCTAATTCTGCGCGTCCACTACTCAAATTGGCTCTTCAACACGTTGACAACATAAAGACTTTTAAAAACGTTGAATTCTTAGTGGATTAGGTGACTATTCAACTAGTTAATATAAAAAACGATGAAAGATTGCAGTTGTTAACGCTGAACAACAGCACAACGACAAAATCAGGTGTTCAGTATTTTGCATAATAAATGACATTTCAAATTTTCTAAAACAAAATATTAGCGATAAAAAAGGATTTTAAGCTATTTTACCGTCATCAGTTGAATTTGCATTTGTATTTGTTGATGTTGCATTTTGTAATTTCATTGTATTGTAATTAGCTCCCTTCACATAATGTGTATTCTATATGAATCTTGATATTTCGCAGCGAAAAATCGCTCTTTTTCACCTTTAATCATAACGTTTGATTTTAAGAATTCACGTAATGTCAACCACTTGATCATAAACAAGCATTTTGCTGATTAAATACATGCATAATTTAAAACATCAAACGTTTTAACTAAAAACAATATCTTGCCAATTAAACATGCATTTAAACTCAATATGCAAGCAAAAGGTTAGCAATTCCAATGTAAAATGTCAAATGTTTTGCGTTAAATTGTTTACGTATCATTTCTTTTAGATTTTTAATCAAGGTAATTTTTCCATTCAACACTTAACGAATGCACATTTTTTTGATAACATTCTTCTAGTTCGAAAGCCATCTATTTTATTTTGCTTTTATGACTTGAATTTTTTATTAAAACTAAACTTGAATTGATTAAAAACGGAAATATGTATGTGCTGTGAATATCAAATAATCTCATATAATGTTTAGAATTATTGCATCCTTATTGCATCGTAATTCCCTTTGTTTTCCTAACACGTAGCTTGTCAAAACCAAAAATACTGAAAGCAAAGAGAAATGTAACAATGCGTAACTACGTCAAAATGTATAATCATATTCAAATCATAAACAAATTTCAATCGGAATTTATTGTGAATTTTCAATTCATTGGTGATTTTTTAACATTATTGTGAATTTTTATTGTGATGTATTACAATTTAATACATATGGCAATGATATTCGAAATAAATAGTTCTGTTGAAGTTTAAAAATGAAATTGAAAACAAAGGTTTGATATTGTAAACAAGACAATTTGATAAATGGAAATGGATATTTTGAAACATTTAGAGTTATGTGAAAGCATCCTTCATAAAATTTATGATTTACCAAAATCCGGATCATTACTTATATTAAATGTAAGAAATTAAATGAAATTTAATAATGTTATTCCACCAAAATTTTCCCAGTCAAAAACCAAATCAAACAATTGCAATATTTTAGGAATTTTGTGCTGAATTTTCTAAATGTTGTATTAAACTTCATAAAATTTTAATATTTGATTGCCATGAAAAATATGATATTATCGAAATTATGTTCTTGTGTTTATATCAAATTATCAGTTGTGTCAACTATTTGGAGAAAACTATAAAAATGGAACGAATTTCTAATTCAATTTTGAGTGTAAGATTTTAAACGCCAAATATTGATATGCGTATATATTATATTTTATTTAATAAAAACTACTTTCCTTTCAGTTAACTAGAAAATTTTTTGTGGATCGAATACTTTGGTGCTTTGTCAAAATGAAATCTTTAACGAATTCAATGAACGATAATACCTTCCCAAAAATTTTAGATGAAACAAGTTTCATTGTTTTGATAGATACTGCTTTAGAATTGCTGGTACCCTACAGCAAATATGGCGAAGAAAACTGTGATGAATCAACTCCCAGAGTAAACATAATTTTTAAAATATTTATAAATATAATCCTGGAATTTTTTAGGAAAAATTTCAAACAAAAATCGCTTGTCAACAGTTAAGAACCGCAATCGATAAATTGATAGGTCAATCATTAGCTTTTGCAAATGTTGCCCAATCATGTGATAAGAAAGTTATTAATTCATTGTGCCAAAAAGTTTTAAAAGACTGCATAGATTTTCAAAACGAATGTGATTTTTCAAGTACAGAGAAGCAGTTATTGACCCAGAAAAATATTCGCTTGAAATCACTTGTAGTAGAAAATGCTATATATAAGCTAGAAGATTTTATTAATGAAAGTCTCTTAAAATTATTTTTTTTCGTTTTTACGGACCTTGAAAATAATTCGGTCAGAAATATTCGCAAGAGTATAAAAGAAAATCCAAAGGACAAAAAAATTGATGATATGATAGCAGACTTTGATATTAATGTTGATCGTTTAATACAGATTGGAACGTTTGCTTTAACTTTTGCACCAAATTCAAAAGGTTTGTTTAAAATTAAAATTTTTCTACAGCTTTAAAAGCGAATAGAATTTTTTTGAACTGTCTTTTAGTGAAAACAAATGTCCGGAATTCTTTGGCATCGTTAGAATCCTTGGATTCCTATCTAGTTCCATCATTATACTCGAAATGCGATTTTAATTTTGCTATATTAGAGGAACACTTTTTAGAAGAAGTTGAAAAACTTAAAAAATCTCTTCAAACAATAGTTGAAACTGATGCACTTACGGAATCATACTTAAATATTTTAAGTGAAATTCTAGAAAAAAACCAATTTGATCTTAAAGATTTTACTAATATAACACAAATGGCAAATTTGTTAATAGAGCATATTGAACTTAATGAATCGGAATTAAAACTAGAGGATGACCATGAAAAAAATGAGAAATACAATAAGTTTAAACTGATGGCAAATGAATGCTCAGCTATTTTAACTTGTGCTGACCAGGTTGAACCAAAAAGAATATTGAAACGTTTCAAAATTATGAAATCTTGTCTCGAAAAATTTAAAATCATTTTAAATAAAGGTAGCGATATTTCAACAAAAAGTAAATATGAACAGATTTTTATAACATCAGAAGAATTAGCAGAGTCTCAGAAAATGTTTGAATCATTAGGTATTTCACCTACTATAAAAAGTATTTTATATAAGAACAAAAAATTAAATATGACTGAATCTTTAATCGGACAATGTTCTAGACAACTAAGCTTTGACAGCTCCTATTCAGAAACAACGATTAAGACTCCTGAAATGAAAAAGCTAAAGAGAAGTAAATTTCAAAATTTTTGAAGTATTTTATTTTATTTTTTGAAATATTTTAGAAATTAGTTTACGAACTGCTATGTTTAAACGTCAGACAAGTGAAGAAACTAAAAAAATGCATAAAATTTTTGATGAAAACTCAATGAATCTAGAAATATCAGGTAAACATATTATATTTTAATTGCTTATTAATTTTATTTCGATTTTGTATTACATTTTAGATATTTTAGACCAAATAACAGGTCTGTCATCCTCATTCGGGTAAACAAAAAAACAGTGACTAAAATACGAAATATTTTATATGATTTTTAAGAAATTTTTGAAATTTTTTTTAAAAATGGAAACCAAATTTTGTTCTAAGTTTTAAGAAAAGTAAAAAGTTTTAAGCATACATACGTTTGTACATATGTATTAATGTAAAACTTCAACTGTAAAATATTCGTATTTTTTATTATTAATTTAATTTTAATAATCTAAAACAATATTCATTTAAATATATTAATATATTAAACAATGTTGCAAAAGACAAAAATCAACCTAACCTTACGCTACTTTGAAATGATAAATCGGATATTGGGCGTTCATTAAATGATGCTTTAAAAATGCTATTAGGCATAGAATTTAAATATTGTTGGGTTCCATCAGGACTTACAGAATTTCTTACTAAATCTCTTAAATTTGCCGAAATTTTGGCACGTTCTAATAATTCATTATAATTTTTTTGTTTTTTTCTTACAAATTGTTCTGTTCGATTTGTTTTACGTTGAATTTCATTACAAAGTTGCTGTCGACGTATATTTTCATATTTATCAATTTCTTTGAAATTTTCTTCATGAATAACTTGTTGTATATAATTAGCATGTTTAATTCGTCTTAAATATGAATTTAATATGTGATTACGAATACATTCGGCACGTTCAAGACGATTCTCATAACGATCGCATATTTCTTGTTTTTTTATTGCATTATCAAAATGTATTTCATCTTGGGCTATTTGAACAGCTTCATTTTTCCTAAATGCATCTATATTACGTTGTTGTATTTTTATAGATTTATCTAATTTTATACGTTTTAATCGCTTTTGTAATTTACAATCTTTTTCATATAATTCAGCTCTTAAACGTTGTATATCTTCTTTATCTCGTCTTAATATTGCTTCGACTCTTGCTTTTGTCATTTCATTATCATATATTTGTTTTTCTCTAATTGCTTTTCGATATTCTTCATCTTGTTCATATTTTATAAGTTCACGTTCAAAACGTTCATTCTCCCAAAGTCTTTGTGCTAACCATGCATTCTCATTAAGTATAGCACGTTCATTACGTCTTTTAGCCATTCGATTTAATATTTTTCTATCATGTGTTGGAATTTTTTTATATGCTTGACGTATTCTTGGTGAAAGGCATAAATTTTGCATTGGTTCACATAAATCATCGAATTCATTATCAGGAGGGAATTGTGCTACTCTTAATGGAAGTTCAGATTTCTTTTTAGACTTTTGTTTTATATTTGATTGTTTTGGAAGTTCAAGATTTAATATTTCATTTAATATAACACAATCTTTAGTATAACTACGACTTGTATTAACACTTTTAGGACGTTTTGATTTTTTATTTTTCTTTTTTCTACCACTATTCAATTTTCTTGTTATTGATATTTCATTATTGTTATTATCATTAAGATTACTTATAAAATGATTATTATTATTTCGATCTTTATCGCATTTTGTATCACCTCTTCTAGTTGATTCAGCTGTACAATCACAATTGCAAAATTCGCAACATGAATAATGGTCAATTATTGTCGATTTGGACGGTGGTGATAATTTCAATAAACTTAAATATTCATCATGGTCCTCTTTTATATTTTTAATCTTTGTTGATTCTGAAGACATTTTAATATACGTATGTATATGTATTTTTTAAAGTGAAATGATTTATTTTTGAAATTTTATAAATGAAGGATTAAAAATACTATTTACTTATTTTATATTCTAATTTTTTTAATATCATTTTCTGCCTTTGTTATTTTTTTATCGATTTATTATTACAAACTAATCTACAATTCAATGTTGTATAAGGATATAAGTAAACCAATGAATTGTTTATATTGCTCACTTATGGAAGAATTTTGTTTATGAAAGACCCCTAAATATTATGATGATTCCTTTGAATGAAGTACATATTACATTACGATACATTGAATTAAAATAACGCATGCGTTTTAATATATTAATTGCAAGTTAAGGGGAATAATAATTTGGAAGCACGTTATATTTTAAAATATTTAATATCTATACAACATAATGGTTTGAAATTAACAAGGAAGAGCCCGAGAAAAATTGATAATAGTAAAACAAACAAAAATGAACCCATTTTTTTTGTGATTAGGTGCATAGGTCACTATTGGAAAGTCACGATATATTTAATCATAAAATCACAGAAATAATGCCACTTAAAATGTCGTATTATAACGAAATAAATGTAATCTCTGTTAAAACCGAAACTTATTTCTTTTCTTTGATAAAAGTGAACCCTTGAAATAAAAGTAAAAAATGTTCGTAATTTCAACAGTTTATCATTTGAATTTGAAATTTTCATTCAATACAACATGTTTCCAATTAAACGAAGAATTTTATTAATCTTTAATTTTTTTTAATTGAAATTCACTTAAATGCCTTAAATTCACGGGAATTATCGTTTGTTTTCTAAATTAAATCTTAAAGATCTTTTACTTATGAGGCACTCAACGCATTAATGACCTACTCGCAAAAATGACATTTCGAATAAATTCCGATTGAAATGTTAAATATTTAATTTTTAAAAAAAATTTTTTAAAAAACAAAAACGAACTTATTTCAAATTAAAATGAAAATGGGGAGTAAACTAAAGTATTTTAAAAATATAGAGAAATTCTTTAGCCCATTACAGCTCCTATTGAATATTATTACCGTTATTATGATCGGCAAAGTGAGAATGACTAATCGAATTGAATGGACTAGATCGAAAATGTTGCTACCGCAAGATGTCAGAAAACCTACCGAAAATAATAAAGTTAACAACACATATTACGTGGTTGTTGTCCAGTAATTTATTTAAATGTTCGAATTTTGTTTGGTTCATTTTGCTTCCATACATAAATTAATATTAAACAATCAATATTTTTTTACAATAATTTGTAGAATTTTATGTACTTACTTTTTCAAATAGTTTAGATTTTTCCATTATATTACCGATAAATGCTATAATATCCAATAAAAAAAAAAAACACTTATGTATTAATTTGATTTTTCATTCGCTAAGCTTACCGTACAGAATTTTCATTCGACAGATAATTGACAACTCATTTGCAAAGAAATTTAGGCGAATTCGTTAATCATAATACCAAAAATTCATATTCTCTTCGCCGACCATAATAAGAGCCTATAACACAATTTTTGCAAAAATGTTGGATAGATCAATAATTATTATATTGAATTTTTGATTAGTGACATATACGAGAAATTCTTCAATATCAAACATTTCTCAATTATGCTCTTCTTATAATTTATAATATTTTTGCTTTTAGAACTTTCACTGTTTTCATTTAGCACAACTGTTGTCATTTTCACAGATTTTACAGTTTAGATTTATTGAACTCAGATTTTTTGCTTTATATTAAGACCTCGAAAATCTTCGATGATTTTAGTTCTTTTTCTAATTTTTAATATTGGGTCTATTAAGGGGATAAATGGAAATATAATAATAATTTAAATATTTTTAAATATAAATAAAACACAAAAATATTTTATAATTTGAAAAAATTACATTCCAAACTTGGTTTTTTTTTGTTTTTGTTTGTTTTTATTTTTGTTTCATTGTAATGATTAACGATATAAAAAGGTTCATTTTTTTTTTGTAGTTTTGTATGTATAAATGTATAATTATATAATGTATGTATAAAGTTTAAATGTTATATTTAATTATATATAATAATATTTAATTAAATTAAATTAAAAACATTGTATAAAATGTATAAAAAAAATTGCTTGTCATTTGTTTCTTTTATTTTGAAAAATAATTATTTATTTTGTGTTTTTTTTTTATATCTTACATTTTAAAATTTTATTTAATAATTTGATTTATTTTTATTTTAATTTTGTATTTTTTTTTTTTTTTAAAAACATTTTGTTTTGTGCTTTAATTTTTATTTCCTTTTTGAAAGAAAACATCGATATATTAAATTTTATATAATTTATAGTAATATTAATGTTAAATAATTATATTTAATATTATTAATATAAATTTTTATGTATGTATGTATTTAAAATTAGCATAAGAGCAATTTTATACATAAATATTTAGTAATTTAGAATAATTTTTTAATGATTATTAAATAAAATGCGAAAATATTGAACAACGTGGTTTCCTTAATTTCTTTAACAGAATTTAGAAAATTTATTTAAAAAAAAAAATTGAATATTTTAAAAAATAAGCTAAAAGTAGCACATTTAATTTCATTTTCAAAATTAATTTTAAGAAGAAATTTAACATTTATGTATTAAAAATCATAAAATAAGAAGAATAAAAACAAAAAATATACAAAAATATTATTTTTTTCAATTGGACAACCAACCTGTCATCACTGTCACAAAAACGTGATTAAATGAATAAAATGAGTGAAACGCAAAAACTATCATTCATCAATGAAAAAATGAATGACATTCATATGCAGTATCATTCATTTTGTTTTAATGAATTCATTTCCGTATTCATCGAATTCATTTCCGTATTAAAAAATTACAATGGACAAGAGGAACTATTTTTCTCTTTCCAGTAGCGGCTACTCAATATGAATAATGAAAACAATTTATGACACTTATTCATTTTTTCATTTTTTTACTATTCAGAAAAATATTAAAGATTGAGGACCAAATCCTAGAATATAATCACCTCAATGGTTAATCATTGGATAATTTTTAAAATTTAATTTACACAAAAAAAAATAATTGAAAAATTTAATGGTCACATGTAAAAATCACAATTATTTCACAATTAATTTATATTTAATATTTTAATATTCTTTATTTTATAATTAATTATATTTAATTTTAATATTTATGATTAAAAAATATAATTTTTGTGTTTTCTTAATTTTACCAAAATTTATTTTTTTTAGTTTAAAAAATATTTTTAAAGATTTTTGTTTCTTCTTATATTTTTATTTTATTTTAAATTTCAAAAAAATATTTCATTTCTTTTTTTTTACAATTTTCTCTCTTATCACAGAAATGGTCTTTTTAAGAGACTAATCCTGTTCTTGTTATACAAAAACAATTTTTCTTTTTCATTTCATTTTGTCCGTTTTCTCTTGTAGTTTTTTGTTAATTAATTTTTATTAATATTGCAAATGGGAATTGGGTGTAAGGGGTTGTTGGGGGCAAAAAATTGAAAATTATTATTATTAAGTAAATAATTTAAATTTTTAACAAATCAAACAAAAAAAAAGCAAAATGTATTATAATTTTTTTAATTTTTCAACGAAAATTTATATGAGATCTTTGTTACACAATTTATGATTTTATTTTATTAATTATATTTAAAATTTATTTAAAAATTTATTGAATTTAATCAATATAAAAATTATTAATGTTCTTATCTATTAAATAATTAATTCAAATAAAAGCAAAACGAATTTTAGAATTTCAATTAAATTTTATTAGAGACAATATCATCAGGGTCCTTCCTAATTGCATACTTTTTAAATTCTATTGAAAAATTACATATTTCATTAAATTAAAATTTCATTAGCGATTAGTGAATAAGACTATTGGCGAAACGAAAATTTTCCAAATATTTTTTAAAAGTAAAGGGTGATTAATAATTTTCTGAAAAATTTATGGTATGAGTCTCATGTTTATTGCGTTTTATGAAAAAAAATTTTTTCCTAAATTGGCAATACTGAATATTTTTTGTTTTGTGAATGTATTTCCCTAACATAGCCCTAAAATAAATTTTTTGATGAAAAATTTTGCCTTAAAATTAATTTTTTAATATTAATGCAAAAAAAAGAAAAAAACAAATCATAATAATAATTGAAGTCTTAAAATGAAAAACAATGTTATACAAAATAAAGAAATTTTTTTCTAAATACAAGTATAAAAAAGAAATTATTCTTAAAATATGTAGAAAATTTCTACATTTAATACCTTAAATAAAAAAAATTTTTTTTTTTTTAGATATATCGCATAATATCAAGTAAAATAATTAAAAAAAATTAATTTAATATATGTCATGAGACAAAGTATAGATAGTATAGAAGAGGCACATTTAACATTAAAATAAATTAAAATTAAATTTAAATTAATTAATTTAAATTTATTTATTTCATTTTTTTTAATATTTTAATTGAATAATTGAAAATTTATATAATGAAAAATTTGAAATAAATAAAGAAAAGTATCAATTATCGAATTTCAATATCGAATTTAAATAATTTTCATTTAATTATGAAAAGGAGGCATGCAGCAGCCCTATCATGAATTTCATTTGTAACTCTGAAATTTGGAAAATTATACGAATATCAATCTGATATCAATCTGATATTATAAATTACGAATTACTAAAATTCTGCTCCGAATATTCATAATGGCGGTAATTAATGCCATATATATTTCATATCAGGTCATGAAGCTTAGAGAGCAAATCAAAAAAAAAATCCAAATTTACATAATTGGAAGCGTTGTCGGAATTTATTTTTGTGAAGGATATTGAACAATAGTTCAATAATTTTTTTTTTAAATTTAAAATTTAAATTTCAAAAAAATCGGTTGATAATTCCATTAACAAATTTGTTTTGTAATTTTTTTTCCGATTCAAAATTTTCGGAAAATAATTTTAGCTTGGGAGCCTGATAGATATATACGGCATTGGGAGTAATCATAAATTATATCGTATATAAATTATATC